TCACCCTGACCGGGGAAGTTGTAGAGAAAGTAGACAAGTTTTGCTACCTGGGCAGCTATACCTTACCTAGCGGACGCATCACAGATGAAGTGTCGACGCAAATACAGAAATCTCGGTTGTCATTTGCCAACTTGAGACATCTGCGGCGCCGTCGCGACATCCATTTGTCTGTGAAGGTCGAGTTCAGCCAGTTCTGCTTTACGACGCAGAGACTTGGCCATTACTGGAACAGGATAAAAATAGACTGTCGGTGTTCGAACACCGCTGTCTACGTAGCATTGCACGAGTCTGGTGGGGAAACCGGACGAGCAATGCTTAGGTTAGACGTAGAGTTTTAGGTAATCGCGGTCGTCCACTGGAACAGGTAGTCGACCTCCATAGATTACGCTGGTTGGGACATGTGCTACGCATATCATCAGTTAGGTTGCTACGGCGAGCTTGACGGGGCTGGTAGCGGTTGGAAAAAAACAAAGGGCGGTCAAGCTAAGACCTGGCATGATGGTATGAAAACCCTGATCAGGAGACTGGTTCCCATTGGTCGTGATAGGCTCCATGGTTGGGGACCCAGAGATCATGGTCACCGGTAGTTAGAGACATTGAGTGATATGTCTGGGTGTAGCAAACAGTGGCGCCCGTTCATTTATTCATTATTCTTGTAACGTCAGTCTATGAAAATGTGCTACCTTCCGCCTAAATCTGCATTCAACATTCTAATCATCATTCTGCTATTTTATCCAAATGGGCAACCAATAGACAGCAACAGCACTGATGCACTTATGTTCATAGTTAATGGTTGTAAGAACTGAACTGAACTGATTGCGTATGCCCAGCTGTCGTTTGCCGCACCGCGCGTTATTCACTGTAGCTAATCCGTTCTTGAGGAAACCATGTGGAGGTCAACAGATGACGTGTAGACGAGGCATGAAGAAATGCACAGAGGCATTAAGTAGAATAGGTGTCTCTCGCCTTCCAGGTTGGGGTCCGAAACACTCCACAACTGGTTGGTTGGAGACATTGAAGGATATCGCAGCGAATCGACAGCAGCGTCGTTCTTGTCGTTTCTTATCAGGTCAGAATGTTTGAAACGGTATGTATACAGAGTTCGATTGTGCACTCTCTGTGTGTTGACCATAGAGGTTCATCGTCTTCCCCATCCCTCAAAATAGGTCCAGTTCCTGTCCACCTTAAATTTTACCACTAATCTTGTATGCAATGCGAGTTTGGCAGCGATCAGCGAAGTTCGCTTCACTGTATTTCGCTATGCGATGACGATGGTAATGATGATTTCTGCACAGATGATCCCTGATTCCCGGCGACCAATGAGCATAATACCTGTTCCAAAGACGTCCTCAACCGTTCTTGCAAAACGTTTTCGTTGAACCGCATTCACGTCTGTAGTTCTAAAGTTGACTGAGAAAGCCATCCTCAATCGCTTATAGTCACTTGTCACTATTCCCCGTGATCCTCTTCAGTTTGCGTATAAACCCAACAGATCCACTTTGGATGCTGTGTCTACTCTAGTCCATTTTATAAGCAAGTTATTGAACAGCTCCGCCCAACCTGTTCGTTGCAGTTTTCTCCATTATTCATCTGCTTTTGATTCTATGTCCCGGTTATCCCTCCTTTTGAAGCTTGAATCTTTTGGCGTCCCGTGACAGCTGCTTTCTTGGCTTTCTGGTTATTTTACCGAAAGAATTCGGTGCACAAAGCTCGGCAGGAATACCTCCAGTCCTCTATTCAGTGGTTCTGGTGTGCTTCAAGGTGCTGTCCTCTTTCCATATTTTTTCTCTGTTTTCATTAGGGATCTTTCAGTTCCACACCCTGCTCGTATCCAAAAGTATGCTGAAGATGTTTTATGTCAGACCGTTTCTTCTTCGGAATTTTCCTCCACTGAAAATCTGTCCCGAATCGAACAGTTTTCAAACCAGTCTGGCCTTTACCCTAACACATTCAAGTGTTTGGAGTGCATTTTTAGTCCTTTCCGCTCTACATTCCCGTCAGACTCTGTAACCCTTGATAGTAACCTTTTTTTCTAGAGTGACCTCAACCAAATATCTGGGTGTTACTATCGATAATAATCTTCGGTGGTCGACACACATTCAGAACTGTATGGGAAAACTTCGGCGCCCCTCCTTTCAGCTCCGAAAGCTCAGACAATTTCGCACCCCCCCCCAACAAGTTTTGTTCTCCTTTGTTAAACAATGCGTTCTCCCTATTTGACTTTGCTGCTCACCTGTAGTGTTTTCCGGTCTACTGAAACAAGACTTTGAAACCATCTGTCGGGGATTAATGATAATAAGCCATGCATCTTTAACTTCTGCCGAGTCATTAATCACAGAACTTATTGATGGTCATATGAAGTCTTGCGTTCAGTTTGTACAACCGTTAACCGTGCACCTTCGTGCGGCGGTTTTGGTTGCTGTCCTTTGGCTGTAACCTTTGCCAATAAGATTCTAAACGACCCCTCCAATTCTTTGCATCTTGACTTATCTTCTTGTCGCTCCCACTTGATCACTCGCTCCTCTTATCGGTATCTACTCTCTCGAATAAACATTTATAAACCTCCATTGTACTGTATCTGGCTCGAATCTCGACCAACAAGGAACGAGTTATAAATGAATTTCGTCAGTCTCTAATTGAATGAATCTGACTTCGAAGACATTTTTTTACGCAGCACTCTATTAGATCTGTCTATATTTCCTCCGGTGTGACGACCAGCGTGCAATTTTTAACTGAAATGTAAGCATATCTTAGCTTGCAAAAGCTATACAAATACAAAAGATATACCGGAGACATTCAGATGGAAGCCACCGAAAATGTATATACGTTTTCATGCCTCAAATTATTAGAGCTCTCA